CTGTGTCTCCTGGTCTTGACAGTGATGACCTTGTGTAGAAGAGGTTCTGTAGTACCCTGTAGTGCAGTTCCCCGGCTCACCAGAATCAGGTGCCCCAGGGGCATTCCCTGTGTGGACTGCCTGCACCCTTCTGTGTGGCTGTGCTGTGATTGCTGTGGACGTGCTAGTGGGTGGGGCTTGTCTTCAGCCCAGCCAGCTCTACTGACCCAGTGTACTTGCTCCTGGTGCTGTGGGCAGGGTTTGCTCCCTGTGCTGATGAGAGGCCTAACTGCAGCCACTGTGGAATCTGTCTGGTGGGGCTGGTACTCAGCCTGTCTGTAATTAGTCTCTATAAGAGCTGCAGGTATAGCAATGGCAAGGCTTCATCCCTGCACAGCCAGCAAGGAGGCCCAGCTGTTGGAACTGCAAGTGTGCCAGTGTGTGGGGTTATCTCTTCTGCCTCAGAGCAGAAATCCCTTTGGAGGGGCCCTGGCCCCAGTCAGGGCTACCTGCCAGGTATGGCCTGGCAGGGGCTGATTTGGAGAGGTGTATTTTCTAGGGCCTCATCGTATGTTTAGACGAGCCTTTCAATTGCTTGGTGTATGTTCTCAGACAATGGGAACTCCATAGTGTAAAGCCCAGTCAGGTAAAACTTGGGGTTCTGTGGTGTTTCAGGCCACAGCGATGCTGCTGCAAACTCTCTTGAGTGTAGGAACTCTAGTTTATATTTACAGTCCTCATTAGCTGGTGCCCAGGTTTAAACATTCTGACGGCATTTTTCAAATAAATAAAGCCTGCATCTTAAGTCTCTACCCATCTAAATTCCCTGCTCTTCCTCTTTATTTCATAAATGTGTCTTAATATTATCCCCATAGATGGTATGTGCTGTGGCCAATATTCAAACAGTCCCATCAGTTTGAGCTGCTTCTTTTGTGGTAGGAGTTGATATGCAATCTATATTGTTTATGACCGGGTGTGGTATTTTTATGCCTTCAGAGAACCAAATTTTGCCTAGAACTTTTACTGTGGTATGGGGTCTTCAGACCTCACCTGGGTCAATTTTTCATTTTCTGAGTGTAGGGAATTCAGTTAACTCTTTTTTTTTTTTTTACTAGCCTGTTTTTCCTAGTTATCGCCATAAATAAGGATGTCCTCAATATATAGGAAATACTGGGTTTTGTGTGTGTTTTCATCAAAGGCCTGGGTGTCTTGTGTTGGAAGGTTGTGGGCCATTACTGGGCTGCTAAGGTACCCTTGTGGTAGCACAGCAAACTGATCTCCTCTGCCTTCCCACGGAAATGCAGTCATGGGTTGGCTCTCCTCCTCAATTGAAATAGCAAAGAACATGTCACATAAGTCTCTCACTGTGTCATAAAGTCTGGATCCGGTGGTGATATTGGTTAGGATGGTGCCTATATCCCAGAGTGCTCCCTCAGTTTGGGGAGAGTTTTTAAATTCCTATAATCTACTGTAAAATGATATGGCCTGTCTGGCTTTTTAACAGTCCAGATTGGGCTATTATGTAATGAAATAGTAGGCACTTTAATTTTTTCCTCTAGGAGTTCCTGAAGGTTTTCCTGATTTTGAGTATGTTCTATTACATCCGTGCCAGGAATGTTTTGTGTATTGGGAAATTAGAAGGCATTTAACCTCAGTGGGTGGTCTATCATCTCTTGTTAGGAATCTCCATACCCATGTCCCTGGGGTTAATTTTCCTCCTAATCTTTCATTAGTCCTTTTTTGTTGTTAGGTTTATTGTAGATGAGTGGGCTAGCCTTGTATCATTGTTATGAACCCTATATCTAGCAACACGGTAGTGTATGTAATATTCTTATTTACCAAGGTGTTTCTATTGATATGGCCAGCACAAACTATGCACCAGTCTCCAGTATGGGCCAGGAGGGCTCAGTGGTGTGCTCTACTTCAGCTATCAGTGACTTGTCTAGTAATGGATTAGGTTTTTTATAAAGGGGTTGGTATGACAGTAAATGGGTTAATGGGTCTATGCGTCAATTTTCTGTAGGTCTATTTACTCTAAAACATTGGTTTCCATTTCTCTGCCACAGTTGTGGTTTCTGGGGTGTCTATTTGTGTTTCTATCTTTATAATTTTGTTAAAGTGGGGTGGTCTAAGTGGTTTATGTGGCCAAAAGGGCCTTGGAGATTTAGGTCTATATGGTCTATTTTGATGAGGTCTATTTATATTCGGTGTAGGCCTGTTTTGTCTCTATACATGCGTGTTAAAGAAAAAGCGTTTATCTTGACTTAGTGCCTCAGCTGTTCTTATCAAGTCAATCAGCTCTCCAGTGTTTCTGGTTCCTGCAAATACTATAAATAATGCTTTCTTGTCTGTGGGGGTTCAGCTTTTAGGATGACTTTTAAATTTGTTCTGGAGCAGTGAGGGTGTCTGTCCTCTATTATAAATCATAGTCAAAGGCCTATTTCATTATTGTCTTAGCTTCCCATGCCGTTTTCCAAAGAGATGTTTGAAGGAATAATATACTACATATAGGCCATCTTAATCTTTTTTTTTTTTTAGCTTTTATTTATTTATTTGGCAGAGAGAGAGCAGGAGAGCACACGCAGTGGGATTGGCAGAGGGAGGAGAAGCAGGCCCCCTGTTGAGCAGGGAGCCCGATGCAGGGCTCGATCCCAGGACCCTGGGATCATGACCTGAGCTAAAGGCAGTCGCTTAACCAACTGAGCCACCCAGGCGCCCCCAGGCCATCTTAATCTTTAGGTGGCTGCTACCCAGCCAAACCAAATTCCTTGTAAACTAGTAGTATTTTCTCCAAATGCTTGAAAGTTTTGATTAAATTTACCATCAGTACTCATGGGCCCAAGTTGCACAATCTCTGCTCCTGTAAGGATCAGGTTTTGTCTTCCTTTGGAGCCTAACTTTCATAGCCACTGGATTTCTGGGTCCAGGTCTGTTTGTTGGAATTCCATTTTAGTTTTTGTCATTTCTTACCTGTTACAATCTCTCCCTTCAGTCACTCTGATTGGTTTCATAGTATCATTTGTTGTCATTTTGTCTCTTTTCCTGGGCCTAGCCTCTAGTAAGTTAGTTACCAGGGTGAAAGGGTTCAAGTATTCATTGTCCGTAAGGTGTGGATTGGTGCTTTTAGGGAACAAAGGACCTGGGTTTCTTCCTTCTCTGGAGATTACTTTTGTTTCTAGTACTTTTCTGTCTATTGGCATGTTACTTCGTGCTTCTAAGAAGTGCACTGAAAAAAATTTTTATTGCTTTTTAAAATACAGGCTATAACTTACCGCATTGGGTGATCAGGCCAACATCTGGAGTTTCCTTAATTATAAGTTTTGTCTGGACTAAGTCTTCCATAGGTCTCCAGGGATCCTCAGAAAATTTATTATAATCCATTGTACACCTAAGCCACCTCTTGGGCAATTTTGGTAGAGTTAGTGAGCAACGTTTGCAATTGACCTCCTGCCTTTTGAAGTATTTTTCCAAATATTTCTTATGGAGGCCTGATGATGAGGTGCATATAGTTGCATATGCTGGCCACAGTGGTCAGAGTAGCCATGGACTTGTTACAGGGAAAGTGTCAAGAGAAACCTGGTCGCAGGAATGGGTCTTGGGGGTACAAGGCATCTGCCTAATTCCAAGCTTTAACCTATTCCAATGTTCATGTTCCCCCTAAAGGCAGGGCAGGAGGGATCTGGCCTGCCTTACCAGAGCTAAATTGAATGAAATGGCTGAGATACCTTTCAGTAAGAGACACATGGGAGCCTTGACAGGTACAGAAACCTAGGAACCCTACAACCGGTAAGTACAATGGGGTGTACATTTCAGTGGCTACCTCTGATTTTGGGGCAGCAGGCTCCCTTTACCCTATGAAATGTAGATGGTTGGGGAGAGGCTGTAGCTGCCAAGTGTGGCTGACAGGGTGCACACTGCTTGTGCAGGGGAGCAAGGTCAGGATGGCCAGGAATCCGGAACTCGGCAATGTTAGGCCAGCCCAGGTCACAGGAGCAGGCTATTAGTGGTACCTGGCATTTGCCCAGTTCCAAGCCCTAACCTACACCAATGCACATACTCCCCCTCAAGGCAGAATTGGAGGAAACTGGACCACATTGCTAGGGTTGAGCCAATCTGACTGGCATAGGTATCCTCCAATGAGATACAGCTGGAATCCTGGACCTCATCAGGCAACCAGTCCAAATGTGGGCTGAATAGCACTAGTTTAAAGCTGACACTTCAGGAATATCTTAAGTGGACTTAAGACTTAGACTCCCACTGCACAGGTGATGCAGGTGGCTGGGGACCAGCCAGAGCTTCACTGGCCTAGAGAGCCCTTGGCTGCCCAAAGCCAATTGACAGGGTACATACCGTACAGGCATAGGCCATGGAGATCAGGGTAGCCAGAGATCTGGAACAGGGTGTCAGGAATGTCCAGGTGTTTAGAGTGGATTCACGGCATCTGCCTGCAGGAATCTGGACTGTCTTGTCAGGGTGGGGCCACTAGGGTAGGCCTAGGAGCCTTGATCACTGGTTTGGGAAAGGAAAATTTTTACTCTTTCCTTCAAGGTTTTTCTAGATTGTCTAGCAATTTAACAAGAGAAAGGAAGTTTTATGATGTGCATACAGAGACTCAAAAATGAAACTGAGACCCAAAGCAATGACCAGTGCATGCAGCTTTCATATGTTTTAGACAAAGAAACCTAAATCTGTGAGGAATATTAGAGGGTAAAGAAAACTTACATTAGTAAGGAATTCTAAACAGAATCTGGGCTGGGGTAGTAAATCAGTAAAAGTAACAAGGTTTGTGTATATAGGCTTCTCTGGCCCTGAATTCCCTGTCTCTGATAAGAATGTCTCTCTACCTCCTGGTGTAGGGAGGGGTAACTTTTTTTTAAGAGAGAGCCAGCATGTGCGTGTGCCCATGGAGGGGGGCAGTGGGGGAAGATGATCTCCAGCAAACTCTGCACTGAGGCTCAATCCCACAACCCTGAGATCATGACCCAAGCCAAAACCAAGAGTCACTTAACCAACTGAGTCACCCAGGTGCCCCAGGATGGTACCTTTCACATGAGAGATTTATTTCATGCTTTCTGGAGACAAAGGAAGGTCAGACTGTTCTTCCTACATTGGCTATATTCAAAATAATTAATATGCCATCGTGGCACATTTTCGGAGGCCAGCACTGGGTCCTGATAATATGTGAAACTTCCAGGAAAGTTTCTGAAGAGGGAACTAACAACTGAGTCTGGAGATTGTTCCATCTTTTTTTTTTTTTTTTAAAGATTTTATTTATTTATTTGAGAGAGAGAATGAGAGATAGCACGAGAAGGAAGAGGGTCAGAGGGAGAAGCAGACTCCCTGCTGAGCAGGGAGCCCGATGCGGGACTCGATCCCGGGACTCCAGGATCATGACCTGAGCCGAAGGCAGTCGCTCAACCAACTGAGCCACCCAGGCGCCCCGAGATTGTTCCATCTTGTCAAGCCAATCTCAGTCCTGACAAGGAATTAGTTCAGTTAAACTCACTTCCGGAGATGGTCTCACAGGTATGTTCCCTAAGTTAGGCCTGTGGTTCAGGTAATCAAGTATTAAGTAAAACCTTTTTAAAAAAAAATGACTTATTCATTTGTCAGAGAGAACACAAGCAGGAGTGGCAGGCAGGGGAGAAGCAGGGTCCCTGCTGAGCAGGGAGCCCAATGTGGGACTCGATCCCAGCACCCTGGGATCATGAGCCAAAGGCAGCTGCTTAACCAACTGAGTCACCCAGGCATCCCTCAATAAGTCATTCCTATAGAGAGAATAAAATAATGGTTAATAATTGGAGCAAATTATAAATCAGTTTCTCCATTCTGAGGGTAGCCACTTGAGAAGATTTCTAGATATCCATTTCTTTTTTTTTTATTTTTTATTGTTATGTTAATCACCATACATTACATCGTTAGTTTTTGATGTAGTGTTCCATGATTCATTGTTTGTGCATAACACTCAGTGCTCCACGCAGAATGTGCCCTCTTTTTTTTTGTAATTTTTTATTATGTTAATCACCATACATTACATCATTAGTTCTTGATGTAGTGTTCCATGATTCATTGTTTGTGCATAACACCCAGTGCTCCACGCAGAACGTGCCCTCTTTAATACCCATCACCAGGCTAACCCATCCCCCCACCCTCCTCCCCTCTAGAACCCTCAGTTTGTTTTTCAGAGTCCATCGTCTCTCATGGTTCGTCTCCCCCTCCGACTTAATCCCCTTCATTTTTCCCCTCCTGCTATCTTCTTCTATTTTTTCTTAACATATGTTGCATTGTTTCAGAAGTACAGATCTGTGATTCAACAGTCTTGCACAATTCACAGTGCTCACCATAGCACATACCCTACCCAATGTCTATCACCCAGCCACCCCATCCCTCCCACCCCCCACCACTCCAGCAACCCTCAGTTTGTTTCCTGAGATTAAGAATTCCTCATATCAGTGAGGTCATATGATACATGTCTTTCTCTGATTGACTTATTTCACTCAGCATAACACCCTCCAGTTCCATCCACATTGCTGCAAATGGCAAGATCTCATTCCTTTTGATGGCTGCATAATATTCCATTGTGTATATATACCACATCTTCTTTATCCATTCATCTGTCGACGGACATCTTGGCTCTTAACCATTTAATTTTTCTAATGCATGAGCATGGTATACCTTTCCATTTATTTGTATCATCTTCGATATCTCTCATCAATGTCTTACAGTTTTCAGAGTACAGGTCTTTCACCTTCTTGGTTAAATTTATTCCTAGGTATCTTATTCTCTTGGTGCAATTGTAAATGAGACTGTTTTCTTGGTTTCTCTTCCTGTTAGTTTGTAATTAGGGAAGAGAAATGCAACAGATTTCTGTATATTAATTTTGTATCCTGTGATTTTACTGAATTCAGTTATTAGTTCTAACAGTTTTTTGGTGGAGTCCTTATGGTCTCCGTATACAGTACCATGTCATCTGCAAATAGGGACAGTTTTACTTCTTTTCCAGTTTGGATGCTTTGTATTTCTTATTTTTGTCTGATGGCCGCGGTTAGCACTCCTAGTACTGTAAAGTCGCTGTTCCTGTAGATTGTCTTTGTTCCTTTCTAGTCTTTGTTGCTTTTGGTCTCTCTTGCCTGCTCAAATGGTCCTCTAGTATTTCTTGCAGAGCTGGTTTAGTGTTCAAGAACTCCTTTAGTTTTTGCAATTGTCTTGAAAACTCTCTCCTTCTAGTATGAATGACAGTCTTGCTGGATATAGTATTCCTGGCTGCATATTTTTCCCATTCAGCACATTGAATATATCATGTCACTCCCTTCAGGACTGCCAGGTCTCTGTGGAAAGGTCTGCTGCTAACCTTAACTGTCTACTCTTGTAGGTTAAGGACCTTTTGTCCCTAGCTGCTTTCAGAATTATCTCTTTACCTTTGTACTTTGCAGGTATCACTATGATATGTCTTGGTGTTGTTGACCTGTTTTTGCTGACTTTGAGGGGAGTTCTCTGTGCACTCTTGGACTTGAATGACTGTTTCCTTCCCCATATTAGGGAAGTTCTCAGTTATAATTTGTTCAAATAGACCTTCTACCCCCTTTTCCCTCTCTTCTTCTAGGACTCCTATGATATGGATATTATTGCACTTTGTGAAACCGCTGAGTTCCCTAAGTCTATATTTGTGATCTAATAGTTTTCTTTCCCTCTTTTCAGCTTATTTTCCATGATTTTATCTTCTATATCACCTATTTGTTCCTCTGCCTCTTCCATCCTTGTTGTGATTACATCCAGTCAATTTTGCATCTCAGTTACAGCATTTTTTATTTCGGCCTGACTAGTTTTTAGGTCTTTTATCTCTGCAGGCAGGGTTTCTCTAGTGTCTTCTATGCTTCTTTCAAGCCCAGCTAGTATTATGACTGTTGTTCTTAATTCTTGTTCAGATATATTGCTTATACCTGTTTTGAGCAACCCCCTGGCTGTGGTTTCTTCTTGATCTTTTTTTGGGGGAGAATTTGTCCATCTTGTCATTATGTCTAGGTTTCTGTCTTTTGCATGTTATGAAAGCTTGTTAGTTTCCTGCTTCTGAGAGTAATACTATATTATGAAGTGGTCATACACTGTTCAGGGCCTGGTGCTTCAGGAAGTATTTCTGGTGTATGTTGTGTGTACTCTGCTGCTTGTTTTGGCTGCTCTTTCCCACAGGCCAGTCCCCTGTAGAGTTCCTCCTTGCTTGCAATGGGGCGTGTTTGGACCTTTAAGTTGTTGTACTTGGGTCTGTTTATTAAGATAGGCGTTCCATTTGGTCAAACATTACTGAAAAGAGGAAGTCTCGTGGTGTCATATAATATTCTCCTTCATGTTCCAGGGAAGAAAACTGCATGAAGCGCTGTTTACGAAGGGACAATTTTTCTCCCATCCCTCCAGAGTCAACATTTTCCTGTGCTAAGACGGTGAGGCTGCCCTCGGGTGCCACGACATTCATGCGGCCATGGTACCATGCCACTCCTGTGCCTGCCAGGGCCACACCGGCCACTGCCACGGTCAAGGGGCCGGGGCCGGGCCAAGCTCGCCGACCAGCAGCGATCCCACGCGGCAGTCTTCCCAGAATGTGCCCTCTTTAATACCCATCACCAGGCTAACCCATCCCCCACCATCTTCCCCTCTAGAATCCTCAGTTTGTTTTTCAGAGTCCATCATTTCTCATGGTTCATCTCCCCCTCCGACTTACTCCCCTTCATTCTTCCCCTCCTGCTATCTTCTTTTTCTTTTTTCTTAACATATGTTGCATTATTTGTTTCAGAAGTACAGATCAGTGATTCAACAGTCTTGCACAATTCATAGCGCTCACCATAGCACATACCCTACCCAATCACTATCACCCAACCACCCCATCCCTCCCACCCCCCACCACTCCAGCAACCCTCAGTTTGTTTCCTGAGATTAAGAATTCCTCATATCAGTGAGGTCATATGATACATGTCTTTCTCTGATTGACTTATTTCACTCATCATAACACCCTCCAGTTCCATCCACGTCGTTGCAAATGGCAAGATCTCATTCCTTTTGATGGCTGCATAATATTCCTTTGTGTATATATACCACTCTTCTTTATCCATTCATCTGTCGATGATCATCTTGGCTCTTTCCACAGTTTGGCTATTGTGGACATTGCTGCTATAAACATTGGGGTGCATGTACCCCTTCGGATCCCTACATTTGTATCTTTGTGGTAAATACCCAGTAGCGCAATTACTGGATCATATGGTAGCTCTATTTTCAACTGTTTGAGGAACCTCCATACTGTTTCCAGAGTGGCTGCACCAGCTTGCATTCCCACCAACAGTGTAGGAGGGTTCCCCTTTCTCCGCATCCCCGCCAACATCTGTCGTTTCCTGACTTGTTAATTTTAGCCATTCTGACTTGTGTCCGGTGGTATCTCATTGAGGTTTTGATTTGGATTTCCATGATGCCGAGCGATGTTGAGCACTTTTTCATGTGTCTGTTGGCCATTTGGATGTCTTCTTTGGAAAAATGTCTGTTCATGTCTTCTGCCCATTTCTTGATTGGATTATTTGTTCTTTGGGTGTTGAGTTTGATAAGTTCTTTATAGATTTTGGATACTAGCCCTTTATCTGATATGTCATTTGCAAATATTTTCTCCCATTCTGTTGGTTGTCTTTTGGTACTGTGGACTATTTCTTTTGCTGTGCCAAAGCTTTTTATCTTGGTGAAATCCCAATAGTTCATTTTTGCCCTTGCTTCCCTTGCCTTTGGCGATGTTTCTAGGAAGAAGTGGCTGTGGCTGAGGTCAAAGAGGTTGCTGCCTGTGTTCTCCTTCAGGATTTTGATGGACTCCTGTCTCACGTTTAGGTCTTTCAACCATTTGGAGTCTATTTTTGTGTGTGGTGTAAGGAAATGGTCTCGTTTCATTCTTCTGCATGTGGCTGTCCAATTTTCCCAACACCATTTGTTGAAGAGACTTTTTTCCATTGGACATTCTTTCCTGCTTTGTCAAAGATGAGTTGACCATAGAGTTCAGGGTCCATTTCTGGGCTCTCGATTCTGTTCCACTGATCTATGTGTCTGTTTCTGTGCCAGTACCA